GTAGAACTGATAAACTATGCCGATTTATATATATGTATAATTAATCAACCTTTATGGAAATGTATTCTTTTTCTTTTTTTTTTGGGTCAACATTATGGAAATGTATTCAAAATATGGAGAATAATGGTAAATAATGAATATTGGTGATCATTGACCAAAGTAACATATTCTAAATTATTGTTCTTTAACTTTTTAAAAAGATTTTCCTTTAAGGAAACTATTGCCAAATCCCATCTTTTTTGTAACGTTCCTTGTTTTTTTGTCTTGAAAATGTTTTAATACCACCAAAAACAAACTTTAATTATCAAACAAAAAATAAAAATTTGACACAACTTTGAGAGTAATCTTGACTAAGATTTATAAATCATGTAAATACACAAACTAATAAATATCTTTAGTTTTGACTAGAATTGTTTTTTAATATTGTTAGAGAACAATATTGAAGAAAAAGATAAGATTTGAGAAAAGGAATTTCTGTTATTCGTCATCAATATATAAAGCTCTTATGGTTCAATGTTGTAAACCGAGTAACAACAAATCAAACCAATAACAACAAATCAAACCGGATACTTCCGGTTTGGTACAATCTGAATTTCATAGTCTATTAAATTAAATATATAAAAAGGTTTTATTTTCTCCGTCGTCTCCTCCCATCTTTTCCGTTTCATTCCACGCCTTCCTATCTCACCGCCGGCAAGCTGAGTTTTTGACCGGGGTTCCATCGACGTCACCGGATTCTCTCTTCTGGGTATTGGTAAATTCATTCAATAGATCTTCGTATAAGACTCATTTTTCCCATCTGAGAAAGCATAGGATTAGATTCGGAAAGCTCATTCTCGATTTCAGTTCCTTTTCCAGATTTTCTTCTTAAACATGAAGATTCTTCTACTCGTAATGCTTCTTTTCTACTCGTTTGCCTCCTCTTCCGGAGATACGACTATTCACACGAACAATTGGGCTGTTTTAGTCTGCACTTCTCGCTTCTGGTAAAATCCTCACACCTTAGTTTGTGGTCGATCTTAATTCCGGCAATGTGTACAATTTCGGTTTATCAATGTCAAATGGTAGCAGAGTACTGTAGTTCTTCTGATACGTGAGTCACAGAACATGGTAATCCCAAATGGTGATAGGTTTTGGAGTTAGATTCTTCTCACCATTCTCTATAGGATTTGAGAGATTTATGCTTGATTGTGAGAGAGTTATCAAAGCTCTTATCTATGTTTCTGAAGTTACAGGGCTCGTCCATGTTAACCTATTGTTGTGGTTGCTATTTCTCAGGTTTAACTACCGGCACATGGCAAATACTTTGTCACTGTATAGGTGAAAGCTCAGTTTTCTCCTTAACTAATGTTTTTATGTTTGAATAAACATTCATGGAGGTAGTTTTCTTCTTGTTTCTTATGTCATATTCTCGTTACTTGGTGTTTCTAGGACAGTCAAGAGACTTGGAATACCAGATGAGAGGATAATTCTAATGCTGGCAGATGATATGGCTTGTAATGCTAGAAATGAATATCCTGCTCAAGTTTTTAACAATGAAAACCACAAACTTAACCTTTACGGAGATAACGTTGAGGTAAATTAGAGGCTGAAGGATACTTCTCCAAGGGTTTTAGCACAATGAGTTGTTTATGTAGTAGTGAATGTATCTTAGGCTTCATATTTGTAAGCACATAATCATTAAATTGCTATGTCGTGTGATGTATTTTTCTGCGGTTTCCATAAAATTGCTCGCAGCCCATATAACATACATGTTTCCAGACGAAGGGCTGATTGTATGAAATTATTTTCACTCAGGTAGATTATCGTGGGTACGAGGTAACAGTTGAAAACTTCTTGCGGGTTTTGACTGGGCGTCATGAGAATGCTGTTCCAAGGTCAAAGCGTCTCCTCAGTGATGAGGGTAGCCATATTCTACTGTACATGACTGGGCATGGAGGTGATGAGTTTCTAAAGTTTCAAGATGCAGAAGAACTCCAGAGTCACGATTTAGCAGATGCTGTAAAACAAATGAAAGAGAAGCGTAGGTATGTTTCACATTTATGGTGTTTCTTAAGTCATAAGTGGCTCTATTCTTTTGCATTCCATTCGTTCAGTGTTTTGAATCTGTCTTTTCCTGCCTTGATCTTTTCCAAGGGCCATTTCTTTGTGGCACAAACATTATTCATTAATTGTCTCATCTTGATTCAGTTTTGACAATCTAATGACATTATTTGGCTAGCCTAGATTCAAGGAGCTGATGATAATGGTTGATACTTGCCAAGCTGCCACTCTTTTTAACCAGGTACATCTTAGTGTCACTTTTTCAGGGTTAATTTTTCGCCTTTATATTTGAGAAAACGTTCATGTAAGCCTAAACTTTAGTTTTGCTCTGCCTTTTGGAGTTACTATGCTTGTATCCATCGTATCTTTATGGCTTATGACAGAAGCTTGTTCTTAGCAGTTACTCCGGTTGATGTTTCACAATGTACGAAGATTGGTATCTATCATTTGGATTTTCCTCTAATTTTGTGAAACAATTTGTTTTCGTAGCTTCAATCTCCTGGTGTTTTGGCTATCGGTAGCAGTCTTAAAGGGGAGAACTCATATTCCCATCACCTGGACTCAGATGTAAGTGCCCTTCACTATTTCATGATTGGAAAGTACCATTACGATATTAGGGGGCAAT